TAACTGTTTGGAGGTGTTTTGTAAGCCCCTTGGCCTCGTGTCAGAGCACTGAGCTGGTGCATTGTTCCAGCACTGGAGTTACCGTTGTTGGTGTGAGTCCAGAGCTGCTGGGGTTGTGCAATGCTCCCAAGTCCTTGCTTTTCTCCCAGTTACCCTTTGAGTGGAAGTCCTTTCCTTGATTTTGATAACAGCTATTAAATTCGAATGCACCCACTCAACTTTGCTGTGCTTCTCGGAAATAGGGCCAGGGGTTGTGTAACTTCCATTCATCCTTCCATGCAGAGCAGTTAATTTCCATTATTGAGGTTTCCCAACATCATAACAGAGTTGCATTAATGTGGTTTATCTGTGATAACCAGTGCAAACTAGTGCAGGAAAATCCATGAACAGTGTTTAATTCAGCCTGGTGAGTGAACATTACACCCTTATACTCCACAAGTGGCACCATCTCTCAGCCTCCTGCTGCTCCCCACACCTCTCCTGACCTGGGCCGTGGTGCTTGAGCCCCTGTATCTGCTGGAGTTGCCTGTTATGAGTTACCACCATCAGTTACTCAGTGATCTGAGCAAGCTGTGATATAATTTCACTAAATTCCCTCAATTCCCACCATTAGTGTGCAGTTGCCTGTTTTTCTCGGGTAGCCAGCCCAGAGCTCACTGGTGCATCTTTCCTTTCCCATCGCTCCAGTCACCCCATGAAGAAGGGCTGAAGGAGCTCACACGTTGCCCAATGTAATCTTGCTGCTAGCTGACATTTCTCCTCCTCCTCCACTCATTTATCCCAAATCCCTTCCTTTTCAGATCCCTTCATTTCCTCCTGCTCTCGGTTTTTAAGCCTTCTCTTATGTGACTTACTGTCTAGAACAGCTTCCCTCTGTACTCCTCTCCCCTTTCAAATCCTTCCTTAAACCACAGCCACTTCAGCAAGTCCTCCTTTTCAGAGCAGTAATCCCCAGTTATGCCGTAGCCCACAAACATTATCTGGTGTCATGTCAAGCACGTGTTCAGCCTCTCAGGAAGTCTGGGGAGGTTTCTGAGATGGAGCAGAGCTTCTAAATCCCTTTGAAACGTAGCAGGCACCTCATTCCCTTTGGTTCAAACCCCCAGTTCTCCTCCCGGGGCAGGGTGTGTGTATTGGTGCTGGTGCCACGGGGCAGCACCACCCCCCAGAGCCAGGAGAGGTTTGTGTTGAACCCCTGATCCCTGGAATCACAGTGATCCAAAGCTTGTGCCCCATGCTGAGATGGGCTGATTGTGGTGTGTCTCGTGGGGCTGGTTCTCGCTCCGTTGCTCCTTTCCAGATGTGAATTTTGAGAAGGGCAGAACTTGCTGTGTCTGTCTCATGTTAGGGATCCCACATCATCAGTACCTATCTCCTTGTGAGTGACTGGGATTCCTCCTGGTGGGATCAGCAGCAGGACTGTAGATGCTGTGCTTCTCAGTTACCTGCTGTGAGACAGGTTTGCTGCCAGGTGTATCTGCCAAGCAGGTGGATTCTCTCTGCTCCCAGGGAGGCTGTTGCTGTGAGAGTCCTGCACAAAAGGTGACACTGAGCATCCTGGACACGTCAGGAATACTTAGCCTGCTGTGTTTCTCAAAAGAAAAGATATTCCAACTGGGATTCAAGAACGGGGTGGCATGGTCATAAAGGGGTTTAGGACTAGGACTAGGCATGGGTGTGACCATGGGATAGCCATGTGTGCAGAGCAGAGAAGTAATTCAGGTGATGGTGGGTCTGCTCTTACATCCCTGAGAGTCTGGGTGTTCACACAGGGACCCCCAGCAGTCCTACACTGGGCTCAGGAAAACTCAGTGCTAAAATCTCTGTGGGAGCCTCTCGGGTCCTAAGTCCTAAACATGCTTAAAAACTTGCAGTCCCTCAGATTTTGACCCATTACATTTGCTCCTCATGTTGTGGTTTAATTCCAGGGAGCATCTTTAGGAACAGTCTGTGGGTAGATGGGACTCTCACAGTGGCTGTTCCAGGTGCAGCTCCCAGGTGACTTTGCATGATAAAAACTGCTCCCCAAATAAATGTGAACTGTCAGCCATGGTCAGGCCTTAATGAGAGCTGGGCTAGATTCAGCTCTATTAGAAACCCACTTTAAGGGAAAAAAAAACCCCTAATGTGTCCATGTTTATCCAGGAGGGTGAAACACAACTGTCCTGGGGAGGGGCTGTGGTCCCCAGGCTCAGGCTGGGCTCGCCCTGGGCTCTCTCCCCTCAAGCAACAGCTGGCAGCAGATCCCACACAGCACATTTGTGGGATTGTTCTCTTCCATTAGAAAGATGAAAGGTAAGAGGAGAGAGGGCTAATCCTGATCGATTGCCAAAATCATAAAATGCAGAGGGAGAGAGAGAGAGAGCAAGGGAGAAACCTGCTGTAAATTACCCAGTGAGCCCGAGCTGGAGCTGGGGATTAAACCCAGGGCTGCAGAATTCCAGGCAATTCCTGTGAGCAGGAGGCCACTTGCATGTGCTGACTCCCTGCTCCAGCTGCTCCTCTCCGAGGCAGCAGAGCTGCTTGCAAAGTGTGAGTGGCAAAATTGGGGCCAGCCAGCACTGCCTTTGGAAGCCCTGCAGTGCAGGGAGCCCTGGAGTGACTGTGGGATGCAGGATCACATCCCCTCCTGCTGCCCTGGGACGCTGGGGCCGCCTCAGAGCTCCCTCGGGAGCTCCTCGTGGAATTACCTTGTGGAATTACCTTGTGGAATTACCTTGTGGAATTACTGCCCTGGGTGGGGCCGGGGGGGTCACTGGCTGGGGGTTGTGCAGGAGGGAGGTGGATGAACAGCAGAGGATGAACAGTGAGGGGGGACAGGCTTTCCATTACAGAAGCTCTGGATTTATTTCTGTTCATTCATTGCAAGTCAGAATCCATTCTCTTCATCTTTATTCTTCCATGCCGTGACACCTTTAAAATCCATGGTACATTTAACTTTTGATTTTCATTTAATACCTTTTAAAGTGATCTAATGCAGACAGATTACAGACAGTGAGGGTTACTGTCCTTCAGTGGAAATACCCTGTTTAATAAAATATTGTAAGACAGATTGGCCACTCCATGCATTAAAAAAAGAGAAAGATATACTAAGTTTAGATGCTATAGCAGTAAAACTTTATAGGCTTATCAATTCTGGACAGTCATACTCTCCTGAAGTTTTCACATCACCTTGCAAAGGCAGCCAGCTATCCTGGTTTGGAAATCAGAACCAGTTGTTTTTGCAGTTTGCAGTATTTAATGTAGATCTATGTAAATTGCCAGGGGAGGGGGAGGAAAGCAGTTTGATCTTAAAATATAATTTGGATTGTTCTCATCTTTTCCTGTAAAGGCTGTTTTGATCATTTGTTGCCACCTCCCAGTTTTCAAACACCTCAGTCTCAAAAAGTTCTGATACTTTTAAAGATAAGGATCAAATTTTATGTATTTTTGTCTCTTAGTTCTCATGCCTTTGACATTCAGGTTTGCAAACTTCCCCTATCAAAGGGCTTTAACATCTTTCCTTTTTTTTTTTTTATTTTTAAATGAAAATTGACATTCTCATTTGTGACTGTAGGAGCCAAGACTTTAAGAAAAATGCCAAATACCACAATACCTATGGGAATTTGCAACCTTATTATTAATAATGGGCGCCTCTCACTTCTCTTCCAACCTCCTGAGATTTTGATGTTTCATCTAAATCCACCCAAATTCCTGTGATCTTTAAAGGTGGGGAGACAGTGGAAAAGTACTTCCTCGAGAGAAGAACTGATTACAAAGCATGGGATCTGATTTCCAGTTTGAACCTCTTTAAACATCAAATATTTTCAGGTCTAAGCTTTGTTTTTTTCCCCCCACTTCTTTTTTGTTTTACTGGCAGAACAAAGAATTTGATTTAACGTTATATGCCTGGAAAAAAATAAAGCATTTAATTTACATTTTACAAGGCAGTTATTGCAGGTTAATTAAATATCAATTGAATGTTATAGGCCATATTAAGATTTATTAATAACCCAGCAGATAAATCTCCCCGGAATTCAATTAAATGAAAATCACATAAAAATATATGTGCAATTTTATTCATATAGTGCATAAAATTCGTGAATTATAGCGCAGCATTGTACAGTAAGTTGATTAATGGGAATTAATTGCTGAAACAGAGAAAAATCAATTTGAACTTTCTGTAGCAGCTCTGAGAAGCACGGTATGGTTCTCCCACACCCTTGGAAAGCTGAGCCCGTGTCTGCACTCTGTACCACGGGATGAGCCTTGGAATAAATGTGCTTCCTCTCCTTTCACCTGCTTTGGCTCAGCGTTTTGGGCTTGGGGAAAGGAATCAGTCACTGTTGCCAGCACGTTCTGGGGAGATCGTGGTAGGACTGAGGCCTTTCGAGGGGAAAGCAGCAGCACAGCGACACGGGCGGGTGTCCCTGGCACTAAGGGGTCGTGCCCGGTGCCACGGGCAGGTCCCTCTGCCAGGGAGAGGCTCACAGGTGTATCCAGAGCTTTGGGACTGTTTGGACCAATGGATTACGGAGACTTTTGCCCTCGATGCTGTTTCAGCTCCGTCTCTAAGTGCTCCCAAGGCAGCTGGCAGTGGGAGCTCTGGTTGTCTGCAAGGCCGGGAGCAGAGGAGCGTGTGGGGCCTTAACCAGGATCAGCCAGTGGCTCAAGGCCCGCTCGGGGAAGCGAAGCTTCCGACATCGGAGATGAGGTTCAGGAGCTGGACTTGGAAAATCTCTTTCCAATATTTGCAGGCCGATGGAGGCCTGGCTTGCTGCCATCTGTTCCCTGCACATCCTGTGTTAAATACTGTCAATATGAGATTATGTTCCAATTACGGTACCAGACTGACTGGTTTAACTCCTACCAGGAATCTGTTTTCCTTTATTACTATGCACTAACTCCGTGACTGATGTACCAGACACCAAAAGAGATGGTCTCTGCCCAGAGGGCTTTGTCTGACAGGAACATGCCGGGAGAAGACGGAACGCGGCAGAAAATGCAGATGAATGAGTAACTGGGTTGAGATTCTCTTTTTAATTTGGGGATCCTTTGCTTGGTTTTGTGTTTGGCTTGAGTTGTGATATTACTAAATTCGCTTCCTTCAGACATTGCACAAGAACAGAGACTTCCACAGAAACTCAAACAGGGTTAGGCATGTGGCTCTTTGAAGTGTGGGTGTTGGGGGGTGAGCGCTCAGCGCACACATGGGAATATTGCAGGATGGAAAACAGAGGGAGAGCCACGTTCCAGCTCAGACAACAACTCCAGCTTGTCCTGGGGAAGTTTAGCCATGTTTAAAATACAGCAGGTGTCTTTCTGTCAGGGCACCCCTTGCTCATCCTCCCTGCTCCTGCAGCAGAGATTGCCTGCATCTGTCTCCTCTGTGCTCCAGCTCTGCTTCTCCCTGCAATAGTTGTCAGGGATATTAGCATTAAATACTTACTGCCTGGCTTAACTAAGGGGTAAGATAGGATTTAATTTGTATGGCTGAAATCCAATTATATAATGGAGCCCCTGGGGGAAGCAGTTATACCTGCTGAATCTCTTGGATGAGTAATTGTGCACAAAGGCTCCTCTCCAGAAGTAGAAACAGATCTGAAATATTTTTTCTTTTCTCTTTTTTTTTTTCTTGCTGCTGCTGTTACATAATAGGGCTGAGACCCTGAAAAGAAAAGCCAATGACAACCCAATGCAGTAGAAAGAATTAAAGCATTGCCAGGGGAAAACAAGTTATAATCTGATAAAATCAAGGATCTAACAGGAAGTCTGCTGCAGCATTAGCTTGGAGGAGCCAAAAGGCAGGGCAGCCAAAGGAAGCTTACTCATCTTTTTGGAAACCAGCACAGAGGCTTTGCTGTCTAACTTTTCCCCCCATTTCTGCCATGAACGGGGAAGGGGAATCCTCTGCTTGCTTTTGTCAAAGCTTGGGAGGTGGGTAGGTATGAAAAAAAAGCTGAGCAGCCAACTAATTCAGATGCTTTTGAAAAATGCTGCACTTAACCACCTTTGAAAATCCCTGCTGCTTATCCTGCATGTCATCTGCATCCTGATAAGCATCAGAATCAGAGGTGATGATGAGCAGGACAGGAACAAAAGCATGATGAGGTTCCCAGCGAGGTTTCTGAAAGCAGGCAAGCTTGTAAGGCATTAATCTCTGGGATAGTATTGGGGCTTGACAACTCTCCCATCTGATATCTCCAGCAGCTCCAAATCCCACAAAGGAACACACTCAGGGCTCTGAATGGGACCGGAGGCACCGCGTGTTGTTCTTGCGCAAGCCTTCCCGGGGCTCGGGGTGCCAGATTTAATTCTATTTTTAAACACAGAAAGCAAACTTTTATTCTTTTCTAACGAGTTCCGAGTGGAAAAATAAATTTCTCCATTCTCTTTGATTCCATGGCTACGGGAAGATAAAACTGCTTCCAGCCAGCCAGGGGAAATCCAGAACTCCAAGTGCCCCAGACTGAGGACAGACCTGGCTGGGCAGAGGCTCCCTCCCCTCCTTCGGCCTCGCTGCCTGGGCAGGGATTTTAATTCTTTTAAAAAGCACCTAAAGCCCAGCGGGTGCAGCACAGGCTCCCACGAGGATGGTACCTGTTCCCAGACTCGCAGCTCCACCCAGTGGCTCTTTTTTGGCAGGATAAATCCATCGTTTCAGGAGCGTTAAAAACCTGTTGAGGTCAACGCCGACACACCGGGGCGATGCCCCTGGCGATGTGCGCGAGGGATTGAGGGCGGATTTCTTCATCAAATTCTTAAGGGGCTGTCAGCTACCCCTTGGATAATGGCAAAAAAACTGCAAAGAGACTTTTAGCGAAAATAGAAAACCCAGAAATTTTATTACTCCCTTAAACAACCCCCCCGCCCCCCCAATCACAAATGGTAGGGGGGAAAAACCAGTAGGGAGCTGCTCACTTACACACTTCAACCTTTCAAATTCCCTGTGAGCAGACTGCAACAGTTTTGCCCGAATTTATTTGTTATATAAAGTTAGTAATGAATTACCAGAGCGACTGATTTCTGATTTGCAAGCTCGTTTTGAAAAAGAGTGAATGTGAGAGTGAGTTTCAGCAAATGCAACTTGGCAGCTCACGCTGGATTGCTCCACTTTCCTTCCTGGGTAATTACAGGGACTAACAGGAAGCAAATTTTGATAATTTCTGTCAAGGACGCCATGCTGAAACTTGCTTTTTCCAGGATTATTGGGGTGCTCGTAATTAAAATAAGCTTTGATTTGTGCATGTGCACACTTTTACTCTAGGAACACTTGAGATGGGTATGTATTCAAGAACACAGAAGTGTGATACCAACAGAGTTAATTTTAGATTTGAACCAGCATTGTAAAAATGCCCCATTCCTCCAAGCTCGAGTGAAAACTGAAATCTCAGCTGTGCATAATGTAGATTTAGCAGCCCCTCCGTATGTCTTAAAAATAGAGAAGCCGATAAACTGATAGAAACCACAGTTTTGTTGTGAATTTTCTGGAAGTGCCTGTCCCCATCTGTGTGAGGAAAATATCATCTGTGAAACGCTGCTCCCAGATGGACTGTGTAGCTGCAGTGCCACGGAATGAGCTGAAGTGACCTCTCCCTCCTGAAGTTCAAACGTTATTTATCATAAATGCAGCCCCTCAGGCCTTCACTTGAAGTTGCTGTTTGCCAGCACAGCAGCTGAACGTGGGCTTTAATCTGCTTTGCTTTGCTGCTGGAGTGCTGTGACAGACTTAAAAATATATGAGCCCCACCTTTGAGCTTGTAGACATCAGTTCTCCGGCCATGCAATTAGGAATTAAGCCTATACATTGTTAGCACAAGAGGTTGGAGGTTTCTTTTTAGAGGGGTAATATTTCTAAACAGATGTAATATTCTACGTGTCAAAAATAACAGGAAGCATCTTGCAAAAGGTAGTTCTGGAAAAGAGGTTGATTTTTTTTTTTTTCTGTTTATTAAACCCTAAAGCAGAACAAGAACTTGCTGGGTTTTCCTCATCTTCCCCAAAAGTATCACTTTTCATACAAAAAAGTCTGCTTTTTATACAAAAGAATACCCTTTAGTGTATGAGCCAGTACAGACATCCCACCAGTTGTCTGAGGCCATGGCTTCTTAGGCTGTGGAACAAAACTGGTTAACTAATTTCATGAAAAAGGTGGTTTTTGAGCACCCTTTCTCACCTGAGCCTGTCTGTCCTGTTCCCAGGAGTGACCCCATGCAGTGGTGGCACCATGGCAGTGACTGAGGCCCACGTGGCTGCAAGAGAGGAAGCTTTCGAATGCACCCCGGTGTTTCACAGGACAACACAAAATAGCTGAGATTTTGGCATGACAGGTGTATGTATTTGCAGCCTCAGAGTTTTGCTCCTTCTCTGTCTCAGCACCAGGATTAGTGTTTGCAAAGTCCCTGCCAGAGATCTGCACGTGCTGCGAAGCTCAGGTGGAACCTGCCGGTGCGATGAGCGATCTCCTCACCCCAAAAGTGGGGTTCAGTTCTTCTTCCCGGGAAGCTGGGGGGGTTCCAGGTTCCCCACAGCTGCTCTCAGCCACTGGGCAGTTCTGTGCCTGCTCTCGTTCCAGGTGAACAGGGGTTTGTACCCGAAGTGCCTGGAGGCTTTGTCTGTCTCGTAGGAGAAGGTGGTGACTATTGTGTTCAGCAAAGGCAGGTTTAGGAAAGGCTGTGGCTTCCAGAAGGGCAACAAGATGACCCTGATTATCTTGTGCAGTTGTATCATTAACCACATCTTCCAGTAGGGGATGTGGGAGCCCAGTCTCACCGAGGGGTCTGCAGTGGACAGCAGCTGGTGCCTGACCAGGAAACCTTTCCTGGTTGGAGTGTCATCATAGGAATAGTACACTTGTCCTGCCAGTAAGCCTGGTTTCAGCTGCAAGTTCCTTGCTGCAAGGACATGCATCCATGCAACGTTCCCTGGAGAAATAAGAGGGGGAGAGAAACAGGTATTCAGGAGGAGCTGAATTTCCCTGTTTACTGTAGAATGAGTACATTGGATCTGCCAGCCTCAGTGCTGGGAAGCAGGGAAGCACTCGTGGTGTGCTCAGCTGCACTGTAGAGAGACTGAGGAGTTAATCCAGGCCTCCAAGATCCTTTAAACCTTTGGTCTCCTCTTTGAGCTGGACAATTAATGTGCCTCGTGATCCTGGTTCATGTGAAGGGAAAGGGCAGTGTTTTGTAGTGAGAGGAGGATGAATGAGAGTCAGTGCTCGAGGGTTTTATGCCTGGCTCTGCTGTGAGCCTTTGAAGAAGTCACTTGATTTATCTGGGCCTGATTCTTCTCTGAGAGCATTTTCAAAATACTGTTATCTGCACTTTTGGGAAAAGACATCTAAGTGTGCTGCACAGAAATGACTGAACCCCTGCATGATTTAATGGTGAGTTGTACTCCCCTGAAAGGCATTCAGCACCACAACAAACTCCTCCTGTAGGCTTTGTGAGTAGTTTCTTGTGCTTGCTAAAATCATTTATGTAGCACAGCCTTTTCTGTAAGGAATTTGACAAGTAGTGGTAAGATGATTTCTTCTAATGAAGAAGAAATTAGGTATCTTTTCAAAGCAAAAACATTTTCAAAATATTACCTGAATTTCTCTCTCTGCCCCCCCATATACCCCCTAAAACATTTACCAAGAGAAAAAAAAAAGAAAATCCTTCCCAGGAAAACAGTCGTAGTGAGCAGCTGCCTGAAAAATTCTTCAGTTTTGTGGCTATAAGAACATTTGTGCTCATTGACCACATTCATCTCTCTGTCTTGGAAGATTATGGTTAAGGTGATGTGTGAAACCCCCTGTGGCTAAAGCAGGCAAAGAGCTCAGTCCCTCACCCACGTAGGTGTGATTCCGCTCCGAGTCCTCAGGCTCCAGGAAGTTCAGGACACCCTTCCTGGCCTTGGCCCCCCGGTAGAGCTCCTGGAGAAACGCTGCCTTCTCCCCATACACGGTGTTGGCTCGGATGATGCAGGTGGTGAGCTTACCACCATGGCTCAGCTGGAAAACGGGGGAGGGATGTTAGTGAGGGATGGACTCAGAGGTGAAATTCTTCTACCGCGGGGTTGTCAGATAAACCCAAACCCTGGGAATATTGGCCTAGAGGAGCTGCCATTTGCGGAGGTGCTCTGGATGTTTGGGACACGGTTTGGGTGCCTAAAAATGCCAGGAGGTGCCCAGTTTGATTCTGGTTTTTTTTCATAGCTCACCTGCACCCACACATGCTCCCTGAGAGGTGCTGGATGGAGGCTGCTGGTGGCATGAACTCTTCTGCAGTTGTGATGAGTTTTTGCAACAACTAAAATTGGGTATCAGAGGAGACCAACAAGCTGAGTGGCCTCAAACTGTAACGGGGGAAGGGATGCTCTAGGCAGTGATTTAGGACACAGGTCTCATTTTTACATTCTGCTTCATTCCCTAGAAGAACTCCTCTGCCTGCTGACTGCCCTGGCACTCTCAAAGACTGGCCAGCTGCCTTAGGTAGGGGGCTGACTCTGGGTGCACCAATATTTTTGGTTCTGAAGTCACTCAGACATGCCTGGAAATTATACTTTTATGCAGTATGAACTAGGTGAACCTGGTTTCTTCAACCCTGATTTAGCACAGCTCTTTCCAGAGTCACAGTCCTGCTGGAGCTGAAGCACAGGCTCAAAGGGAAGCACCCTTTGATCCTGCCAGAGTTTGGCAGCTTCCTGCTGGTGTGGGAATACTGGGCTTTGGGAAGCTTAGGACATTGTGGTTTATGCATCAAATCAAGGCAGCAGTTGGATACACACTTAGACAGGAGCTGTGGGGTCTTTTTAACCAACTTCCTTCTTTCCCCATCCTGTGCTGTAATTCCAGGGGTGCTGCCGTTGCATTTGGTACCTTTTTTCCGTTGGCTTCAAGTACTAGTTTTTCTGCCATGGCTTTTGTCTTCCCATAGGGCAGCTCCACTTCCCCGCTGTACTCAGTGTCCTCATTTCCTCTGGAACACATTGGGAGAGATGGTGAGTGACCACAGGGTTTGGAGACATCTGTCCCAGCGGGATTTCCTCTGCAGTCCCTGCTGCCTGGGGACTGCTGCTGGCTGGCAGCTATGGGAATCTGAGGTCCCTGCTGCAGTCTGGGAGAAATAAGGCCCCAAGAAACACCAGGTGGTCTGTGGTGTTCACATCCAGGTTGGCATGAGGGCACTGGTTTGATTTCTGAGAGCTGGGTTTGGTTTTGTCCAAGAGTGCGATGGAAGCAAATAATATCCCAGTGGGCAAATTAGAAGGCAGTGGAGTTACATTGTTCAGCCACTCACAGGAGCTGAACAAGGTGAAAAGAGCATAAGAAGATGGAAGGCAGGAAAAATGAGAGCAATCCTGCTTCATTTTTTCATTAGAGGCAGAGAAAAGCCTCTCATGAGCCATAAACTAAAAGGAGAAGCTACTGCTTAATTTTCTCACAGAGCTGATTAAAGTTGGGAGGCATTTTCTGGGGATGTGATTGGGCTGCTGGTGATCTGGAAGACTTGCAATCAGCAGGTTTGTGCTGGGATTGTTCCTTCATCTCCCCTAACAAATTAAGTTTGAGGGGAAGGCAAAGCAATGACCCACAATTAAGGGCAAGCAGGGCTCCAGCCGTGCTGGGGACACTGGGTTGTGGCTGTGGAAGACAACGTGCTCCCCAGCCTCCCACCTCACAGCTGCAAGGGGGAAACCCTTGGGAACTAAAGTGTAACTGGCCTCACAGGGCCTGAAATAATTCCAAGGAGAAACAAGAGAGCAGCTCTATTCCTCCCCAGGCTGAAGGCGTTTTGTCCCAGTGGTTCTAGATCAGACTAGTTCTTCACTAATTTGGATTTGCTTAAGCAAATCCAGTGGGCTCTGGAGGGGCTGGGGAGTGAAGAAACCTTGTTTGAAGCACTGGGAAGGACCATCCATGAATACTGTGTGGGCACTTGCCCCCCTGCTGCCGTGACTAGCATGGATCAGCTCTCTCTCCCTCTGTGTGCTGCAGGAGACTTTCTTCCCGTTTTTGAATTCATTTACTCTATATTTTGCTCTCCAAGAGAAATCCACTCTGGACAAACCCAGGACTCTGCCAGGCATGGGGCACCCCATGCAGGGCAGTGGGGAATTATCCTGCTCCTTTGGCAGATGGGGCTTGGATGCACCTCTTGGAAGGGTTGAGTGGCCTGTGGCGAGTTCACACAGCAGATCTGCAGCAGAGGTGTTTTTGTCAAACACTGGGCCCCGGGAGGGCCAGCTCTGTCTCAGGCTCCCTGTCTGACCTTGGGCTACTTGCTTTCCCTTTTCTCTGCTCAGATTTCCATGTGTAAAACGTGGATAATGCTGCTGCCTTGCTCCTGCCTGTTCAGCAGCCCAGTGTGTTGTGTGCCGGGTATCCCAGCTGAGATCAGGGGCTTCTTGTGCTGCAGCAACAGAAATAAATTAGGAGCATCAGAAATGCAGCCTCCTCGCACACCCTGGGCTTTTATCACAAAACCCTCCTCCCTTTCCCCGTGTTTACAGGTGATGAGCAAGAGACAAACCGAAAAACAAGCGAGACAAAAGATAGATTGTGCAAGGTTTGTTGCAAGCCCGGGAGAGGCCCAAGACAAATAGGAGGGGTTATCTAGAAGTTCTAGTTTTAATTGCTTTCTCTTTTTTTTTTTTTTTCTTTCCCAGTCCAATTTTTTTTTTCTTGCCTCGCAAAGCTTTTAAAAAGCAGCAGCTCCACAAAGGGGGCGAACCCAACCCGGCGTTCCGGGGCTGCAGCGCTCCACTCGTGTGCCTTCCCCCTCCCCTCCCGAGCTCGGGAGTAACAAAGAGCTCAGCACAATGCTCTTGCTTTTCAAAACGATCAGAGAGAACCGAACGCTAATCAGAGCGGAGCAGCGTTGTCAGGAGGGATCTCAGCGGTGGCTGTCCCGGGGGGATCGGGGCTGACAGAGGCATTTTCTATTCTTGTCGGATGCTGAGGTGTGAGCGTCATCCCCGCACCCATCGCCCCGGCCAGAGACTCACCGGGCTTTGTCTGTGTCAACGTAAAAGGGAGTTAAATAAATTACAGGAGGAATGGTGGAGAAGGGGGACAGAGAAAAAAGGAGAAAGGCAGGCGGGGTCGCGGGCTGTGAGGGAGAGGGTGGAACAGGTTGGGTGGGGAAGGGGGAGATGAGAAGAGGAAGGGGAAAGGTGCTTTCAGTCTGCAAAACAGAGCCATATTTCACTGCCCTCCAGCCATCCCTGGGCTCCCTATTGAGGCACGTGGTGTAAGTTTTGACTGGGGGGCTGACCCTTCTCTCATTATGTAATTCCCTTAGTTTAGAATCAAAATCACTGGAGAATGAAGGCCACCCTCTTGAGCTTCCTCCCAGCTCAATGGCAGAACCTGAGTGTGTTCTGCCAGATGCCTCAGAGGCTCTAGGTGTGCTTTTATTTGCATTCGTGGTGGGGAAGGGTTGGGATGTGGTGGGCAGAGGATGTCCAGGTGTAACTCCACGAGCTTCAGCCCAGCTGGGTTTTGCTTGCCCCCACTGGTGCCACCATTACAAGCCAAAGGACTGTGCTCTCAGGCGAGATCTGAGGTCGATTTTTTCAAGACATCTATTCACATCTGTCTCTTCAGTCTCAGGACTAAAATACTGACAAGGACGTGCCCGTATCTACATTCATTTTTAGAAATGACCTGGATATGCTAATGAACAAATTCCATAGCTTTGCAGTGACACAGACTCTCTGGTGCTCGTAGTCCCAAGCGGTTTGTTGCTCTCATGATTTTTTTTTTCCCATAAGCTGGACATTTATTCTACAGATTTGGGTACTTAAACACTTTTCAAAACAACTGGGTTATGCCTTAGCTTACTTGTGAGGGTGAAATTTAGGCTTGTAGGTCATTTTAAGTTATATCTTAAGCAGCCTTTTCTAGCTGGGCTCAAATTTCTGGAGCGACTAAGCCAGCTGTGCCCAGCCTGGCTGCCTGGAGAGAAAAAAGACCCTGACTTTGAGCCAGTTCCCCTTGCACACAAGTTTCCGTGGTTTGAGCATGGCCTGTGTGGCTACAACCATGCTTGGAACCAGCAAGGGCCCTTCCAATAGCACATATCAGACTGCAGATATTTCCACCTGACCTCAAATTCGACCTAAAACCTCAGCTCCTGGTCTTCAGAAATAGCAGCCCCGTTATCAGAGTGCAGGTACTGCTGACCCAGGAATACCAAAGCTGTCCCAGTGCTGAGCCCTGAGTGGGAGTGGCAGCTGATTGTGACAGTCAGGTCTGGAGATCAAAGATCTGTAAGCAAAAAAAAACCCTCAGAATTGTAATTTTGACCACTGTCTTTGTGTTGCTGCAAATCCCACCTTTGCCACAGAGGGTTTTCTGAAGCTCTGCTGCTTCTTCTGGGTCTGTGGGTCAGTCTCATGGGAGCCACACACAGAGGAGATGGGTTGAGCATAGTGACCCAAAGTAGTGGCATCAGGAGTCCAGGAATCAGCCCTCATGAGCTTGTTGCCAGGAAAATGGATTTTGAGGGATAGAAGGACACAATTTACAGGTCAGACCCAGGTAACAGAAGGGTGTAAATACACCTGAATGCTGCAGGGAACCTTCACACCAATACATCTGTGCCCCGAGACTGTGTGGCCAAATTACTTTCTTCTGAGTTAGTGCTACATGAGATTTGCCCACACCTGACAGCAGGAGATGGGTACAGGCTTCATGGCAATTCCCTGTGGAGCTGGGAAGAGGAGGGAGAGTGTGTTGGCAGCAGTAGAGGGTCACCTGCCCTTTGGGTTGACTGATTGTAAGGGGAGAGCAAAAACTGTGACCTGACAGCAGGATGCAACTTGACCATGGCCCAAACCTCAAACATCTGAGACCTTCTCTGACGCTGATTTTAGGGCTGAGAGGAGCAGGGCTGTGCACGTGGGGACAGCCTGGAGGTGCTGCTGGGCCATTCAGCTCCCACCCAACCCTTTCAGTCACTGCTATCACAGCTGGCCAGGCTCAGGTCGGGAAGAGGTGGTTCCTGAAAGGGAAGAGCAGCAAGGAAGGATTTTCAAGGAAGAGAAGAGGAATAGACAGGAAGGGCAACACGTATCTCCTTTGTAGCCACAGCTAAATTCTCCATCTGGTTGCAGTTTCATTGCTGTTTAACTGGAAATCCAGAAGGATGGAGAAGATTTGCTCTTCCTCACCTGAACATGGGCTCACACGAGGTGTTGGGTCCCACCGCGGCAACGGAGCTCGTGTGGACAAGGTATGGAACGTCCAGGGCACGGCAGGCCCTCAACACATTTTCAGTACCTGTGGGGCAGGTTGGGAAGGACAGGCATCAAACACCTTGCTTTGATTCCTCTTGTTCAGGAAGGACAAATGTTAACCACCTTGGCTTGGTTTCTCTGGTGCCACTCAAAAGAGATTTCCGGGCTTGGGATGCTGACACTTGGAGCACATCCAGCTTTATTGTGGCTGGAAAGATGCAAAGCCACAGGTCAGGGCTGCAGTTCCTTGGGTGTGTTTGCATGGGAATGGATGGTTTATAGGAGTAGCAGTTCCATCTGTAGCTTTAATGTGGCTTAACCTCTATGGCCATTGGCCCCTGACTTAACTTGCACTTTCTAGTTGCTAACAAAAAGGGAGCTGACAGCTTGGCAGAGCAGAACTCTTTGTTTTCCATCCTTTTTTTGATTTGTGGACAGACTGCTGGGTGAATTGCAGCCTTCTGGCAAAAGGCTCAGTGTTTCAGTTGCATGTGTGGCTCTATAGAAGCCCTGTAGGGTGCTATAGGGTGAAACCATTGCAGCAGGCCCTTGAGAGCTGCAGAATTTTAAATAAGATCGTAGGGGCAGCCCACAAGTCCACAGGAAAAACAGATGAATCCAAAGCATGGTTTGGTTTAAGGAAAGTTGGTCTGGCTGAACCTGTGGGTTGGTGTGTGTGGCTTTAGTTTGGTTGGTTTGGGGTGTTCTGTGGGTTCAGATATTTATGACTCTTCCAGGGGTGGTTTTTGCATTCATTGTGATTTTGATTCAAGCTGATCTGTGAGAATCTCAGTGACAACAGCATAACCACAGCTGCATTCTGAGGGCCTTCAAATCTGATAGGGCAGATCTTAAAGGAAGCAGCTCGTAGGGTTGGTTTCCAGAAACCTCCATAGTATTTATACTTGGCTAATCAAACTCTGCCCCTGAGCCTCCCTGCAGATCTTGTGTGGGAGGGCTTGTGATTCCTGTTCTCTTTGTTGTTAAAGGCATAATCTGAAATTACCAGGGAAATCCTGAGTTTAGGATAATTTCAGAGGGCATGAATCAGTGTGAAGTCCTGGTGGAAAAGGATCAGTCTGCTTCTCCATGAGCCTATCACAATATGTAAAGTTAACTGAGAACCCCTGCTGAGAAACCACTGGAAACAGCTGAGTTAAAACCCATTCATCTTAACAAAAAGCAGATTAAAAAGCCTTTAAGTGACTAGATGGAAAAAATAATTCTTGCAGAAGAGAATTCTTCAATCTAGTCAACAAGACTGTAACAGGATTCGGCAGCCAGTGGTTGAAACAGAGGAGAGAATCAAAGCAGAAGATGTAAATTTTTGCCAGAAATGGGAATTAACCACAGCCACACCACCACCACTCCTCAGCATTGTTATGGCTTGCTGAAAGACATGATAGATAGCCCATTAACTTGCACCCTTAATTGGAGGCAACAAGTCTTTTGAAAAGGATTGGTCCAATTTAGCCACAAATTGTTGGGCTTAAGGCAATAATTGGATGAAATTCTGCGGCCTGAGCTGCACAGAGGAGCCAGCTAGAGGATTATATACTTGACCTGTTCTGACCCTATTTTTTTCCATGAAGTCTGCAGCAGGTATCAAATACTATTTTTTGTTCTTTCATCTGCTATGATTTTGACAGAAAAGTTTAGACTACTCTCTCCCTTTGGGATTTGGAGAAGTCCTGGTGAGGGCAGCAGGTCTATGTGGAGGAGATTTAGGGAGGTTTACGTGAAGGGAGAAGAAGTGCCTCCTCCAAGGGGAGGCAGAAATGCAGGACAGGCTCCTGTAAAGCCATCCCAAACTGTGCCCCTGAGGGACACTCGGTCACGCTGGAAAATCTGTGCCTGTGTGGTTTTCTGGGAATGTCACAAACATCTGCAAGAGGTTTGGTTTGCTGAAGAGGGGAGTGCCCAGTGTTCTCTAAAAACCTGCCTGTGCTGAAGTACCTTGCTCACAGCAAGCACAGTGAAGAGGAAGGTCTCACAAAGCCATTACAAGGCAGTGGGAAGCCTCAGGCTCTGAATATTCTCAGTGCACAAAGAGCACAACACAGGCTCTTAAAGGCATCTGGGTTTGAAAACAACAAAAAGAATTTAAATGTTACCCTCAAATGTATCAGCAAATAGTAGAAGCCCTAAGCAGTAACCGGGTTTGAGACATACATATAAAAAAAAAATTAAATCCTTTCCCTTTGGTTAATGACCATTTTAGTAGCTAACAGCCTGAGGTGCCACTGGAATTGCTGCTGTAATAGGGATTTCATTATTTTTACAGCCTGTGCTTATTTCCTGGATTTATGAACAAATTTTCTTTAAGCAGATCTTGCACTGAACACAAACCCGGCTCTTGGTGGTCGGAAGGACGAGGTGTGGAGCTCTCAGTGGCACGTGGTTTGTAGGTACATGACATTTGGGAACTCTGACTGTGATTAAAATAACATCACTCCCTTCTAGTGGGTGCAGTTCAATGTGTACAGCCTTGTGCAGGTGTATACAGGGCTTTTTTGTATCCCTGGGAAGATGCCTAGAACAGGGGTTAACTTTTAGTTGTTGTCCTTGTCACACACTAAACAGTTTCTTACCACTGTGGGCATGTTCTGGGTCCCTTATTAGGGAAAGTTATACCCTGGACCAGAACAGCTGTATGATAACTGAGCCCAGAGCTGATGTTTTGGGATGAGGAGCAGCATGACCTGCCCCGAGCAAGGACAGAGGGGCAAGGGCAGAAACTTCCCCACTGGAAAAAAAAAGGTCCTGGGCACCTTTCCCATCTCGCAGCAGAGTGGTGTGCGTGGAATTCAGGACAGGGGAGGGATTTCTGAGGGATCCTCCACATGAGCAGCTCAGGGAGGGGTGTGTGGCTGCAGCTGTGGGAGTGTTATGACATGGAAACCCTCAGTGAAGAACTACCAGGCCAAAGTGAGAAGAGGACAGGGTTATTCCTCAGGATCTGAAGCGAGGGAGCGCAAAGCCTGAGCGGGTGTTCCTCGCAGCCTCTCGTGTGACTGCACCAGGGTGTGTGAGGAAGCTAAGGCTGGGTTTAATTCCTCGTTTTCCAGAGCTTACCCCCCACATTGACGGCTCTCATCTCCCAGAAGGGCACTGTGCCTCTGTAGTCCACGAGGGCAGCCGTGTGGATCACCACGTGCACCCCCTGCATGGCAGCCAGGAGCCCCTCGTAGTCCCGCACGTCTCCTTTCACCGCTGTCACACGAGTGGTGGCTGGGGGAAAAGAACAGGACCAGAGATGCAAGGGGGGGATAAAAAAAGTACAAACCAACATCCTCACCTTCCTGCAGAGCCAGGATCCTGCGTGCAAAGCTTTGCTGTCTGCAGGGCGAGGCCGTGACTGTACCGATGGAACATGTCACGCCAGGGGGAAATTCATCCCCGTTTCCGAGCCCCAAGAAGCCAGATGTGCATCTGGTTTGATTCAGCACAGCACTCTGCATGAACAGTGGGCCAGAAGAGCTGTGTCTGTCATTGCAAATCCCCTGTCTGCATCCAAGGATGGTGCTGAGAGCAGGAGACGCTCGGCCCAGAGCTGCAGCTGGTCACAGGGCTGCTCCAGTCCCCGGGGATTTGGGAAGCTGGACACTTTTTTTCTTGCTGTACACTTTCCTTCTGACAGAGGATTTTTAGGGGTTGCTGGGAATAACACCAGGGGAGTTCAAGGGACATTGCACAGAGCTTTATTTAAATTGCAAACACCATAGATGGGAGGGGAAAATAACGTAACAGGTATTAAAAGTTTCATAGGAAATTCCTCTCTTTGAGCCACTCAGAAGGAATTTTCCCCCTATCTCCTTTCTCCCCCTCCTTCTTCCTCGACATAGCTTTCCATACATAGCTACTCTTGGCATCTACTACTAATTTTCTTGCTTTGAGACAGTGTTGCAATGTTTGAGTAGGATTTTTCCCTTTTTCCTTTCGTGTAGTTGGGAACAGGCCAGCAAGGAGCTGGGGTTAGGAGGCTGTACTCCTTGGGGATTGGCAATAATGCACTCACAGGATTGCTTTGGGAAGAAGTCTCCTCTGCCCTGGACTGGTGGCTGTCTGGAGAGCCCAATGTATCCTGGGATCAGGGCAGGGATTTCTGAAGGATCCTACACATGAGCAGCTCAGGGAAGGGTCTGTGGCTGCAGCTGTGGGAGTGTTATGACATGGAAACCCTCAGTGAAGAACTACCAGGAAAAGGGGGGAAAAGAACAGGGTTATTCCTCATGAACTAAAGGGAGGGACAGAATCCAACACAGCAGCTCTGTTTTCTGAGCAGTATGGGATGGAGGAGGAGGCTGGAATTCTACAAAAGTTAATTTCATAATTACCACTTTCATAATTACCATAGCCAAGATTTGGTGGACTCACTCACACTCAATATTCTTAATTAATATTGAATGATAATACCAAAAATAATTCAGTATTAAAGCACAGAGTTGCTTCAGTGAGAATAGAGGGGGAAAAGAAAGGAGTTGTCCATGTAGCAGGGGTAAAACAATTGCCCAGAGGACCAGGGTGTCAGCAGACTCTTGGGGGGATTTTTCTGCTGCTCTGTGGTTTGGGAAAGCCTGGAACCCATCAGGTTGAAGTGTTAAATAGTCTTTTTTACATCATCTGTCTTAAGGCAGCTGTGCAAGGCAACCATGAGAAATTTTCTGATTGATAAGAGCTATAAAGAGGAGATGGGTGTAACTGCAGCCCTGTTGCATTATCAGCTACTTTGGAGAACTTTTGAAGGCACTGGAAAACTGCAGTAGAGCAAATGGAACACCTGTGCTTAGAAAGGAGCTGAAGAAGAGCCAGGAAATTCCAGAATATTTTGATTTCAACCCCAGGAAATCCAGGAGCACACACTAAGATGACATGTGTGTGAGCACCTGTGGGGTAATAAGGAGAACAGCAGCAGCTGACAAGGATTTGTCAAGAACAAATCAAGTCAGATAAACCTCCTTTGTTCTCATGGCAAAGTAACAGGCTGCAGGGATATTGTGGAACAGGTTGATGCCATCTCTCTTGATTTTAGGAGGGCTTTAGAAACTCTGTGTCGTTCTCGTGAGCGGGTCAGGAAAACACAGGGCTAAATGAGCCCCATTAGGGAGAGCACAAAGCCGGGGAATTACAGTTCCCAGGGAATTGCCAGCTGTGGTAGGTGCCTGCCCTGGGGCTCTCCGGGGCTTATTGCTGTATTTGAGTCTTTTTTTTTTATTGTTTTCATCAAGAATCTGGCAGATTTGTTCATTAAATCAGTAGATAACATCAGACAGGGAGGGACTGGAGGATTAGAGAATGAGCTGCTTGTAACTCAGAGAGGCTGGAAAAGAAAGGGGAAATTTGATAGGAACAAAGAGAAGTTTTTGGGCTGAGCAGGGAAGAGGCAGCAGGTCTTCATGAAAGGGTTAAATTGGGCTAGGGCAGCTCAGGAGCTGTTGCCTGTTGGCAGGGTCCTTGTGAGTGGGAAAAAGGCATCACTGTAGTGACAGGGGAAACAGGAGGAGGTATTCCAGGATGGAAGGCACAAATCCATCAGCTTTACACAGCAGTGGGAAGGCCACAGCTGGTCTCTCTGCCCAAACCTCAATGCCCCTCTTCCAGAAAGGAGCAACACCAGTGCCTGAGGTACTGATGGAGTGGAGGAGGAAGGAGGGAATGCTCATTTAGCCAAAAGGAGAAACCAGTATGGAGTGGAAGGAGGGGGTTTTTAGGTGATGAAGATTGTTTTTAAAAAAATTACAGTAATGGTGTAACACCTGTTTTAAGGGTGGATGAGAAATGAAGGACTCCAGGCTGTACCACAGCAGTGGCCTGGTGCTGCAGAGATAAATGGGCTGCCTGAGGTGGCCTGGGGACAGGACAGACAAACATCTGCAGGGAAGGCTGTGGCAGAGCTGGTCTGCCTTGGGGCAGAGGGATGGGGTTGGGATGGCCCCTCAGGCTGCTCCTGCCTTGTTTGCTGCGGTGTCAGGCCACAGACCACTCCTGGAGCCTGGATGATGGCACCTCCCTATGGTTTAAACAGCTTTTTCTTCAATTATGGGTGCTTTTAAGGCAATTGGCTCCCTGAAACCTGGGGAAGCCAGTCTGCTGAGTTCATCTGCCAGGGAAGGTTTCTGATAGTCATATTTCCCTGGGAGTCTTAACTTGCTCTAAGTGTCTCTTCTATCGATATCTCCCCACAGATGGGACCTCCCTTATCACTTTTGCCTCTCTCAAAGCAGGCTGAAGGTCTGGGCAGTCAGACAGAGGGGACCCAGCCCACCATTACCTGAGCTGCCTTGGCTTGTTTTGCTTGGGTGTTCCTGAATCCAGTAAAACAGGTTGTTTTCCCCCAATGTATCTCGCTGTACTCAACCCCGGACAAAGGCAGCTCTCAGAATATGATCAAATGGATTAATTTAGTATCTCTGAGAGTGTTTACTGAGACTCACCTCTTCCTTCATATGCACAGGAAGGCTGCTGTAGGTTTCTCCCAATTATTTCCATAACTTATTTCACAATACCTGCAGCAGATGCTGAGTTTCTCTTCTATTATTGTCAGGATTTTTATCTTTCAGAATTGGTGACTGGTTGGAGCAGTTCAGGAGGATGTTTTTGTGTCCCTTTGCTGTCAGTCAGACTGGTTGAGCAGAAGCAACTGGGCAGCCAAGTTCCCCTGTCATGTACTCAGTGTGCACATTGCTCCTTACAACTGATCCCTGTGTGGGGACTTAGATCCTCCTGTGACATCTCTGGAGGGTACAGGCTATGGATCTTTTTTTTTCTTTCATTTAGTCCTGTGCTGAAAAACCTTTCAGAGCTGGAAGTTGTTCTTTATCCAGTCTGTTTAACCCCGTGCCTGTAACTGTGGCATCTCCAACATTATTCCATCTGCCATGAAAGGGAGGGTTCTGGCCACCAAATAGATGCTGATGCTCTTTTCTTACCTGTGGTGAGATATTCTACTTCTCCTTTTGCTACTGAATCAAAAACTCTGACTTCTTTGATGTAGTCTTGTTCAGACAGGAGCTCTACGATCTTCTCCCCGATAAACCCACATCCTCCTGTCACCAGGTAGACCCAGGTCCCATCCATTTCTGAAGATGTTTCTGAGGTTGAAGGTGCCAGGATCCTTCTGTGCTCTGCTGAGCTCTCAGCCAGTGTGTTTTCTGAACTAAGTCTAAAGTTTAGCTGTCACAGAACGGTGCTGGCTGAACATTAACTCTGTCCAGTTACACATAAATCAGGTTTTCCTTGGTGCACTCCCACAGATTTGCCAGAGGCCCATCCTGGGCCCTCTGACTCAGCCTTTCCCTTCTCCCACAGTAGCCCATGATCAGCAGGGCAGCTCTGGACTGCCTTGGTATGTGGCCAGTCTCAGGCCAAAATCTGGATGGCAGAAGTTTTCCATCCTGGACAGCCCTTTCCCACAGGCTGCTCTGACAGCTGTGGCCTCTGGGAGCTGCACAAAGGCTGTGTGTGCTGGAGGGGTGCTCAGGGCAGCCAGTTGTCAGTGTGGAGGTCCAAAGACCTCGTCCCCAGGCACTGGTGATCTGTGGAGAGGCTGCAGAGCACAGATCCCTCCAGTGCTGAGCTGGGTCATGCACAGCACAGGCAGGGCCAGAGGCTCTGGGGTCACTGGTTCTCCCAGTCTGAGGATCTGGTGTGGCTCTCCTGGATGGATGCTGCTCTCAGTTGGAATACACACACTCTCATGTATATTTAGGAGGGGAAAGTCTTAATGTGAAAACTGTCTAGCAGTAAAAGCTCTGCCACATCCTTTGTTAGAAAAGTTCCTTCTCATCATCAGTAAAAGAGGGTCCTGCTGTGCTTTCCCTGCCAGCCATGGCTGATACACCTTTCCTTGTCCAGTCACAGAGAATGTGTCTTGTTTTGTTTGCCATTGGATTAAAAAAATCAGATCAGCTTTATCCAAGGGTGTTTGACCCTGTCCTAATTGTGGGATGTGGAGTGGAAGACCTGTCCTGTTCTCTCTGTTTCTCCCATGAAGAGGCTCAGAGACAACAAAGTCAGGCCTGAGCAGTCCCAGGCTCTCCTGGATGCCAAGCAAACTGTCCTAAAGTCTGGAGTAGTCAATTTTTTTTTCAATCCATATTTGAACCAGCTTGTCACCATTTTTGGTGAACTGTTCTTAGAGAGGTAACACTGGTAAATAGGGAAACATAATCTCCCTGATTATTTTCCTTTATACATTGTAGTCTAAAGTTGCTTTTCTGGCCATAGGGTTGCTTGGGAAGTTTAGGGTGAGTTTGTTCTGGTTTCAGGCTCACAGATTTCCCCACCCCCAGGCTGAAATGTGGCAGCAATTCCAACTGTGTGAATGGTTGGGGCCAGTCTTAGGCATTTGTGCTTGTATGCCTGTAAAAAGGAAGGTGTAGAGCAACCTGCTGCTGAGAACGTGGTTAATGAAGAGTTAAGGCAGAGAACTCAAAGAGTAGCTGTGTTTTGTTTGTGAATAAATAGTTTTATTTTAATCAGCTCCTGCTGCAAGTTCAGTCTGTTCCCCTCTGCCATTGATTTTCTTGTGCTGCATTAAGTGTTAGGAGGAGTCAGTTCCCCTTGCTGTGATTACAATCAGTGGCCATAATGGCCCAGAGACCAACATGGGCCTGATGCTAATTTGGTGCCTGGCAGACCAGCACAGCCACAAATGTCCCAAGAAATTAATTTAGCCTTTTATCCAGCAACTCCCAATCTGTACAGTGGTGATTAACAGAACTGCCTTCCCTCAGAGGACTTTTTGCAAGGATAAATACATCGGAGTTGGAGGTGTTAGGACTCAAAAACCAAGATAAATACACCCTGAGAGACCCAGAGAAGTGCTGCATGGGAATGTTTGGCATCGAGTAACCTTGAGGATGTCCTCATCAGCGATGCAAAGAGCTGTGTGAAGCTGAGGCCTTGACTCTGTGGACATTTCTCAGTGTTCACAAGGCTTGGCCTTTGCTGCACTATTGGTATCTGCATATCTGAGTGTAATCTGATCAGTGGGGGAAAACTGGCTGGCATTTCCATATCTCTTGTTTTTGTTAGGATATGAAAAACAAGTTCAGAAACCAGAACTGGCACATCTGTGAAGAAGCAGCCCAGGTCCTCTCCTACAGAGAGGAGAGCCTCCCTTTGCAAACAGAGGGGTGTTGCATCCAAATGGGAAGTTGTTCCCAGTGTAGGAAGGTTAAACAGGTCCCCACCCACATCCTCCTCTGACAGTTTGAATTGTCACAGGAGATGGTTCCAGGGGTCTCCATGAGCCCAGAGGCACATTCAGAGAACACACAAAGGAGGAGGGAAACACCTGGAGGTGCCAGGGGAATTCAGGGAGGGGGCCCAGGCAGCCCTCGCTGTCTTAGCTGAGCCAACTCAACTCCTTGAACTGGGAGGAAACTCATGGCAAGCGAGGCAGGTTACAAATAACAACAGGGTTTAATTCATGCTGGTAAGCACTGCAGAATTCCCTCTCTGCCTTGTTCCTCTGCTGCACTACCCGTCCTCTGAGTGCCCTCTCTCAGCCAAGGCAGAGCTGTGATCCTGGATCTGTACTGACAGAAAACTCCTGCAGGAACACGAGGACTGTCCCTGCAGGAAGCATCTGCCAGGTCCAGGTAGTGCCTCGCTCTGCAGTGCAAAGCAAGATGCTCAAAGGTGACATTACCTGAAGGCTCACCTGGGCTGCCTTTAGTTTAGGAACTGAACACCTCCCCAGGAGGGTGGGATGTGCCCCTGTGTTTGGCTGGTGGGGCTGGGAATGCAGAGAGGTGACTGAGTGTGTCCTGGAGGCTGATCTCAGACACCTTCAGAGGAGTCAGTCCCACTGAGGGCAGGGAAACTGGGCCCTTTTTGCCCCTCCACCCCCATGGAAGGTGACCAGAAGCAGGGCCTTCATGCACATCTTGTTTTTTAGGAGACCTGCAAATATACAACCAGGGAAAGCTGAGCTGGCAGGAAGGAAAACCAGCTGCCCTGGCTTCAGGCTGCAGTTTGCTTGAACTTGCCCTGAACTTTGCAAATAGAGGACACCTGACAAGATATTCATTTACAGTAAGTTTATTTCTCAGTGCATTACATGAAAGGTCTTTGGTATTTGTGGGTCCTTGAATACTGTTCCCACTCTGCTCCGAAAGAAAATGCTGAATACAAAACATTCCATATACAGTAACAAACCCCATAGCAAATAAAGAGAAATAGATATTTTGAACAATAACATAGCAATATGAAAACAGATAAGTAACCATGCAAGAGGTGGAACAAACAGGTTGTGTTTACAACAAACATTAAAGCCTGCCATAAATGAGTTCATCCTGTCAGACGAGATTTATTCTTGCTCTAAGTTAAGAAATTACACATGATTGCAAGATACTGTGGATGGCTGCCCTATAAAAGACCAAATGGTTGTAAAGCTGATCCCCATGAGAGAAGCCAGGACCATTTGCACACATACGAAACACACTGATATAAATAAAAAAGATACCGTGTAAAATAACTGGTGAAAAAGTTACCATTTCCTTCTGTGGATGGGAATGTGCCTTGTGAACAGTTATAGCACCTTTGAACCCTTGGTTTCACAGGGAACCAAGACATCACAGACTGAGTAGTTTAACCCCCTACACCCCCAAACCCCCAGTGGAATGTCATCTTGAGCAAGGCAGCAGCTGTAAACGTGGAGGAGGATGGATTTGCAATAACTGTATTGAGAAGTAATTCCAGAAGCTGATTGTCTTTTGGAAGCCTTTGTCACAGTGCTCAGGGTCCTACATTACAACAGTTCATGGCAGTGAGCCCAGCCCAGAGAGCCTCTGGGGAGCCACAAGCTCTGCCCCACCAAACCTCACCAGCACCTGGTTTTTAAGGCCTGTTCCTCTGAAAGGTGATGGCAAAATGCCTGAGGAGTTTGGTGGGAGCAGTGGGGGCTCTCCTCTCTATTTTATTCCTGTTTCCCTGGGTTACTATCAATTCCTTACAGTAAGTGCAAATGAGATACTCTGGAGAGAAGCATTCCCTGCCTCCCAGGGTACCAGGCTGCTGGTGAACACGAGGGTGCACGAGTTGCAAAGAGTTTTTGGTTGTGCAATGTTGCTGCTTCTGGTTAGCTGAGGGCAAGGAATTGATCCAAGTCAAAAACACACTGGAGCTCAAACAAACATTAAGAATTTAAAAAAAAAAGTCTTAGGAAAAAAATAAAAAAGGGAAAGAACACACTATGGTATTGCACAGTATGTATGTAAGATAAAGCACTAAACATTTCAATTAAAATATATTTCTAAATGAGCACGCATTCAAGATAAATCCCCTTTCTAAGTTACATAGACATGGCAAGAAGCATTTATATGCCCTGGCTGAAATGAACCTCAGTATCCTGCCTATGATGGAAGATGTGGTTGGAGTGGTTTGCTTAGTCATCAATATCATTAATGTCAGTGTGTGAGGCTGTGTTCACCCTTAAAACATAATTAAATGGGGTGGCACAACAGTGTGATCCAATCCTTGTGTAAGTAGAGAGGAACGAAACCCCAGTGGAGAGAGAAAGTCCATTTGGTATAATCCTACTGCCCCCCAATTAAAGATACAGTACCTCATCAGAGAGATGGACCTAAGAAAGCAAGAAGTATGGGGAGAGAAAATTACAGAGCTCATGCAGAAATCTGGAAACGTCAGTAATTAAAATGGTCTCAACCCAAACTTAACCAGCCTTTTGACAATTGACTTGGCAGGATTAATTGCAAACAACTTCCATTAAATTTTCCTTTCATTTTACCAGTAATTTGTTTTAAAGAGTATAAAATCCAACCCCCTCATCAATATGAATGCCTCAGCAATAGGAGTGACTAAAGCCTCAGCACCCACCAAGCTCATGAAACAGTTTTGAGTTCAGAAGACAAACTCAGAGGAAGAAAGATTTCTCTTTCACTTCAGTGGGAAGCCTCCAAAACGTCAGGGAAGTGAAAATGGCCTCCTTGTACTCCCCCTTCCCCAAATTCAGCCCTGTACCTACAGGACCAGTGAAACTGAGTTTCACCATTTCCCTTTTTAAAGATTGCTTTGCTTTGGTTTGGTTCCTGAAACTGCTATGAGGGCACGTTGTTAATGTGGCATCAACTATAGCTGGCACCAGTCTGCCC